GCGAGGAGGAGGCCAATGGGGAGAGCGGGCACTCACCGCTGTGTAAGGACATGTGCCGCGTCGGCGTGGAGGCCCCGTCGAAGATCGCTCTGTCCAGGAAGTCTATGGTGGACTCGGTGTAAACGATCTGGAAGACTTGGCTGAGGAGCGAGCACAGCTCCTCGGCCGTCACCTGCGGGCGGGAAGGCAGGGGCTACTGTGGTGGCCTTTGGGGCCCACCACGCGGGACAGCGCCAGGCTGGGTTTGTAGGGGTGCTGTGCTCCCGCTGAGGACAGGGAACGTGCTCATCCAAGATCTGGGATGCTGGCGGAGCCGCAAGGGAAAAACCTTGGATCTCGTTAGTGTCGTGCACCCAGTGCTGGAGGGGACGGACTCCTGGGGTGCAGCACCCCTCATCGCCCTCCCATTGGAGCATCCCAGCCCTCTCCAACCAGGGGGACCCAGGCAATCATAGAATCATAGGATGGTTTGGGTTGGAAGGGACCTTAAAGATCATCCAGTTCCAACCCCCCTGCCATGGGCAGGGAATCTGAGATCGGGCAATCTGAGATCGGATGCTCCATCATCAATTCCCAGCTGTTCATTAGCAGCCAGGTTTTGCGTCGATGCTGTCCTACTCCTCATGTCAGCTCCCTGGGATTTTGGCAGCGTAACCGCCATCCCGACGAGGCGCAGGCACCTCGGAGCGTGTTAGAGCCGAAAACACGGGGTGCACAACTCCCTGCTGAGGGCAAAGGGGTCCTGCTGCGGGAGTGCACGGACGAGATCAGAATCTCTGGATCCAGACACCGTATGAAACAAATTCCCAGGTCAGCATCAGGAAAACACCCCAGTTAGCAAAATCCTACGGTGGGAGGGATTCGGTTATCCTCAGGGAGTTTCTGCTGCTGGAACAAGCGCTGGGCAGCAGGCAGCAAAGGGAAAACCACCTTCCAGTACCCGCTCGTGTCGGAATCGGGTCCCGGGGCTGGGGCAGGGCCCAGGATCCCCCTCCCCCGATTTAGCATCCCCCAGTGCACCAGCAAAGCCCAACCCGCGCTCTGAAGTCTTAAAACCGGGTTTATGTCTGTGACGCAGCCTGGGGCTGGGCAGGAGCAGGATGAGGCCACCCAGGGCCTCGTGGTTCCCTGCCGTCGGCCTGAGAAATCGTGGTCAGGCTGGCCTAAGGGCCAAACACCCTCCCAGCAATCCCAGTCCCAGCGCTGTCACGATGGGAGAGTGACCCTGGAGTGTCCCCAACGCGGGACAGCGCTGTAACTGGCGGGGTTGGAGTCTTACTTTGTTCTCCGTAGCCAGGATCACCAAGCAACAAGCTTCGACAGGAACCACTCCGCTCTCGGACAGCGAGCCCGAGGTCAGGGCTTTGGAGCTCTCGGCACAGAGACTCTGGCTCGGGGAGATCCCGGGATCCTGAGCTGAGGAAGAGAGATGTCGTGATGGGAAGGTGGAAGCAGGGAGAGAACGGCCCTCACTGGGCAAGCTGCCCTCGTAGCAGGCTGATGGGGGGAGACCGAAGGCCCCCCAAGGCAGGAGGGCAGAGGATTCTGGAGGAGGGAGCTCTTGGGATCCGGGAACTCCACTGGAATGCCGCACAGGGCTAAAGTCCTACAATAAAAAGGCTGTAATTTGGAGCTCGGCTTCATTCCTGGGGCTTAGCCAGCCCCCGAAATCCATCAGGAGCAGAATTACAGCCTGCTCAGCTACCCATTTATTCTATGGACTGTCCCCTGCTGTCGGGGGGGGTTATAATCCCATAAATCTCTGTCATTATATCCTCTAAGTAGCTCAGCCTTTCCCAAACCACATGGGTCTGAGCCACACAGAGCTGCTGGGGTCAGATTCCGGGCCCTCTCCGGTTATTACATGAAGTGAGGTGTGTCAGAAGCGATGGGAATGGCCCTAGTGATTCCCAACCGGCATCCAGCACTGCATTGAAATTGTCCCAGTGACCTGCACGAGGGTTGGGAAGGTCCAACGCATGTGGGGACCAGGCGGGAGGAGCTGCCTCTGCCTGCTTTTCCTCCTTGCTGACATCCACAAAGGTCCTCACAGACGGGAGCGGGACAGAAAATGTAGAATAAACACAAAGATTCCAAGCTTTCCTAGGAGTCAGTGAATTACAGCTCTAATCTGGGGCTTGGCAGCTGCTGGAGAGGCTCCAGGAGGAATTTTGCGGCCAGCACAGGCTGGAGCCTTCAACTTACCTGTTTTCAGCACGACCAAGTGAGAGGAGTCGTCTCGGATGTAGGAAACGGAGGCGATGTCGTGGATGGGGACCCTGAGGATGAGATCTTCTCCATCCCGCCATACCAGCTTGATGTTGTAGGCAGAGAGGCTGATGACAGCATCGTGTTCTTGGGTCAGCTGCCCCGGGAGCTGATGCGCTCGCTAAAACAAACGTTTTGCCTTTGGTAAGGCCCACGGGATGGAGGACACGGCTCGGACCACCACCCAACCCCACGGAATCCCCGCAAGCCCTTTATTTTTCCGTGCTGCACATCAGTGACTACACGGAGCAGGGTCGTTGCAGAGAGCGAGCGCTCACCTTGGCGTTATCGATCAGATGCAGGATTTCCGTGCGGCTGGAGGGATTCAGGTACCCTGGGATGGATGTGAGTTGACCTAAATACTGGAAAGGAAGAACGGGATCGTTACCACGGCACGTACACGCAAAGCACGTCCCCAAACGTGCCAGCTACCGCAAGAACGGCACCAGCAACGCAGAGCGAAGGGCTGGTGCTCCAAGCTCCTGCTCAGAAAGTGCCAAGTACACCCACGTAGGGAAGATCTCTCATGTCTTTAAGTCATCCCAAGGCTACGTAACTATATATAGTTATACACATTTGGTGTTATATAACTACCTATGTAACTATACATAAGGCCAAGGGCAAGGTCCTGCACTGCGTCAGGGTGATCCCAGGACAAGGACAGGCTGGGGGGAGAATGGATTTGGAACAGCCCTGAGGAGAAGGACTTGGGGTGCTGGGGGCGAGGAGCTGGCCATGAGCCGGCCGTGTGCGCTGGCAGCCCCGACA